GAATGGCAGCACGCAGTGTTGTGGCTTTGTGTAATAGTAGCTCTATGCGGCGAAAGCATCTACTGATAGACTCGCTCCAGCGCGGCGCAGCACAAGCAAGTAGACTAGAAAAACGAAAAAAAAGCAAACGAAAACTCGCCCTTTAGAAGCCGGTGTGGCGAGTTAAAACCAAAATTTGAAGGGTACCCAACTATCCTCGCTGGGTGGCTGTCCGCCAACCAAGTGCCAACAAACTGCCTCTCGGGGACTTTTAAAACAGTGGCCAGTCGCGCCAAGCCTTCTCACGTCACCTCCGCCAGATAACGTAGCTGGAATTTAGTGCTGCGTTTCTGCAGTTTCTTCGCTGTTTTTCCTTACAACAGCCCAATGCTCGTGCCAAACCGTCCAGGCTGCTGGAAATGGCTCCTGTAGCTCCCACCTCCGCTGTGAGGGCCTCGACGTCCCAGCCCTTCTTCATACACTCCTGTTTGAGGTGGCGATAACGTGACAGCTTCTTCTCCCTGGACTGGATGATACGGTCTTCGATACACACCATGAGTTCCAGCCAAATAACCTTTCTCAATTTCTTCGAGAAGAGAACTATGTCGGGACGACACGTGGTAGGTGCAATAAAGTGTGGGAATACTAGCCTCTCGTCCAGATCTGAAAGAAACTGCCAATCATGTGATCCTGACAAAAAACATCGCTCAGACCTTTCCGCTGAGGTAACTCGCCACGGGGGAGGTTTCGACCCGGTTTACAGAAGGCAATGTATGCACCATTAGTGGGAGTTTGCTCGGTATTTGACGACTTTTGCTTTGCTGATACTACTTCTGTCATGAATTTACTGATTTGTTTCAGGACGTTGTCATGGCGCCGAGAAGAAGAAGACGAAGAAGAAGGAGAAGAATGCGGTCAGTATCTCAGTATGAAAACCTTCTACTGTTTGAGTTGTGTTTGTCAAGTCAGGAAGTTAAGCAATCGCACCGCTTGTTAAGGGCATCAGCTGGGCCCCAATGAAGAACTTTCTATAAAGAAACTCAAGCTGCCTGCCGACAAAAACAATGACTCTTGTAAGAACTAATTTCCGCTACATAGCAGGTACAGAACAAGTACTCGCAATAGCCAGGTCTAACATTAACTTTGAAATATCCACTCCTTGGCATGAGCCCAGTTCTGACATTAACTTTGAATTATACACTCCTTTGTATGGACCTTACTACTATTTAGTATTATACGCATTTCCTCGGCAGCGTCAACCAAGCAGTTATGCTTGATCCACACGTTCGCTTATGCTGGGCATTGAAACAGAGCAGATGTAGATATCTCCTAGAGAATGGGGCTCTACAAACCAATGATCAAAGTTAGTCACTTCTGTAACATAGAGTAACATGGAGCGTCATAAATTTGGTGTCATAGGGGGAAACGTCGTCGTTATTGTCTCCTCATATAGCATCATGGTCAATGGGTGGCCAGATTATTAGAATGTGTAATGCATGGACCTTATATAGGCAGAAATTGGTAAACAGAAATTGTTTGAAACAAGCAGCATGTGCAAATAACTGCATGTTCATATCATCGTTAACACATGCCATACTTACTAAGTTCACACATCACGCCCAGAAGACCAACTTGAGGCGCGTTAGGATTTGTTCTGAGAACCCAAGCATTTACATTCTGGACGCATTTAGCTGTTTCCGCGGTGATGACCCTGGCGTTTTGCCTTTTGCAGATGAGCTGAGCTGTTAAATATTTGAATTTTACTCCCGTTGAAGTTTCTCTGATGATCACACCAGAGCAGTACCTGTGTCCGGTTAGCAGATTTTCACCTGCAAACAAACCGTACAAGTATTCAAATCTTCATAAGTTGTGGGAACGGAAAAGAGAAAAGTCTGACCACAAATGACTGTCAACATCAGGAAATGAACCAGGGAACCAGGCATCAGCTAGTATTCAGGCTCCAAAACAATTTACTGGAGCCTCAGTGAACCTTGTGCATATATTGCAGGGCTTGATCGCTGCAATGAACAACTGCGTGCTCAAACTTACTAATACACTCTGGCACGGATGTCAATGCCCCATTAGCTTTGCAATACTGTGTGCAATTTCCCAGCATCCAATAATTGCTGTTACAAGTGTATTGCACGGACTGTTGATAGATAACAGATGACTTGTCTTTGTGACCATTGGCAATTGCGGGTGTCCTGCAGGTGATGACTGGTACACAGAATCAGGGGTAAGAAGGGAATACACATAGTACGGATTAGAGAGTTGTACATTGCTGAGCACAGTGAAACATCATACCAAGAGTACATAACCCCCCAGAGTGTGCAACGCCTGATCCAGCTGTGCATAGGGTCTTGGTCGAGCGGAATCGGATCTTTGCGTCATAATACCGTACACATCTGAGAGGAACCCGGGAATTCGCGGGTACTCTCGGATCAAAATAAATGGTGCCCTGCCTCGAGACCGGCCTTGCGCTGGTGTGGAGTGTACGCATGACATCAGAAGATCCGATTCCGCTCGACCAAGACCCTATGCAGAGCTGGATCGGCGTTGCACACTCTGGGGGTTATGTACTCTTGATCATACCTAACAATGTTCCTAGAACAACACAATACACAATACAGGTACAGGTGGAATATGAAATGTTTTTTTTAAGTTAACAGTTTTTTTGACACGGTGAATTAGGAACTACAGCCGACTCCATTTCTAGAGAACTAGGTCAAACAGAATGTCGGGATAATAGTGAACCATCATCCATATCCCTGTGCAACTCATTCAAAATTGATCCTCGAAAGCGAGCAGTTGTCACTCCTTATCAGTTGAGCTTGAGTAGGCTGAGGAAGATTGTGCCCAAAAAGCACCACTTATATGCTGCTTTCGAGGTCAAACCATCACCAGGTATACAAACTTACAGAGACGCATTGTTTCCAGCACGACAAACACCTTGTGAAGCTCCAGGTAGCAGTGTGAGTCTGAGTCGTTCATGGAGTTGTTGTTACTGAATAATTACTACTACTACTAGCTTAATTAACCACCCCTGCATCCAACCATTGGCATGCTACAACCGACAACCGTTGCAAACTTGGGTGAGAGAATACATACAGTAGATTCAGTATAAAATTGGGAAGAAGATCATCGAAAGAATGAAAAAGGGCAGCTCCATCAGCATGCAGCTGCGCATCAAAATCAAATGTAAAGATGGCGACCATGAACGACTGCGACGCGGATAAACTGCAAAACAAACTAGTGCAGCGACACTGACTCAAATGAGTAAAGAAGCGGAGAAGACGAAACGGCAAGGAAAGCGGATCGCTACGATCGCTCAAATGCACTAGCCTAGAGCGTGCATAGCGCATGCAGTCAAATGGTCACGTGATAAGTGCGTACACAAGTCATATGTCATAATAATGCAGTTGACATAGAAAAGGAAACAAAGCCGAGCGCGAGGCAAACAAATCTGCAGAGCGCGAAAATATAAACACATCGAACGAAGGATTTGTTTGAGAACAAAATGCACAGGCAGACAAAGAAGAAACAGTTCGAAGCTAGAATCAATGTCCGTGTTTCTTAGAATCAATCATGGAGACAGCTAACTAAGAGTAACTACCTCTGTCACGCAAGACCGGACCTAAACACCTACGAAGTAAGAATTGATGTGTTACGAGAAATACGTGTAGTGAAATAAATTGGTGTGCATTGCATCGTGACACAACTTGCCAAGCTGCATGTACGTGATTGTAAATGTACAAACAACATGCAACGTCGTAGTAAGCACAATCGTAACTCGTGAATTCCGTGTTGTTGACTCAAGGCAAGCAGTACCTCGTGTACACGCCGACAACGACGAACGAATTGATTAGACTCTGATAATAAATACTAATAATATGAAAGAACAACAAAACGTAAATGTCACCTACGATTACACAACATTGTGCTCAACCGATGTTGAGAGCCAGTAGCTATTCACAACTCTCTCACCTCCAATAACTAGTCGCACGTCCCCATGAGGGACAACAATAAGAACTTAGAAGTTGAGACTTCATCAGTATTAGTTATGGAGTTGTGTTCCAACTAGGAACAAACACTTCTTGCCAATACTTAACACTTGACAGGCTCACCGCTGCCAACCGGAGCCCACAAGGAGTACGTCGCACTTTCCACTCGGCAAACTCGCAAAAAAGCACGACTACCTACTAAATACACAGTGTTTTGGGGGGAATTCCCCGCTCATCAGTTGAGCTTGAGTACCCTGAAGAAGATTGTGAGCGAAAACCACCTCTCTGCAACTCTGTAAGTTTGTATCCCTGGTGATGGTTTGGCCTATAGAGATGTATATAAGTTGTTGCGGCCCTGTGGCCATGGTAGACAAGATTTCCTTCGAACCATTTCTTGTTCTTTACAAAGTGGAATAAAACTGAAACTCAAAGAGTTCTCAAAAGCAAAGAGCGACACGCATACATGTAGCCTCAAGCAGAAAAGCTGGCAGCGCAAAAGGAAACATGCAGCCAAAAAGATGCCTAGCTTTGGCGTACATCGTAGAGGTCACTGCGCATCCGGTGCACTGCGCCCCAAAGGTGCAGGCACGGCGCCCCAAGGAGTGACGACATACATAAACTGCATTGCGTCATGCAGATAGAGCGATAGCGTACAAAGTACAAACAAAACAAAAATAACTGAGAGAAGAGAAAATAAATAAATCGAAGAGAAGAAGCGAGAGAGAAGAGAGAAGGAATTTAATTCTAATTATTTAGAGTTGGACAGGTATTATCAAGGAGACATGCAGATACACAATAGAATCGACTCGACTGCATGTAGAGTAGCTGCCTCTAACTGCAGCAGAGTGGAGCACGCACGTACGTGATCAACTCGGGAATAGTGAAAAGTGAGAGAAACAAAATACAAATAAATTCGAACGAGCAAATACAATAATAATTGTGAATTCATGTGCAAGTGTCTGTAACATTCTCCCCCCTGGTAACAGGGAACCGATGACCTGTTACAAGTCACAAACAAAGTTAGCGCAGCACGTCCAGCTTGGCAAGCTTAACGACTGGGCGCCGGTACAGTCCAGACTTGGTGCGCACATCTGCCACCCGCACAACGCCATCACTGCCCGGGTGTACAGCCTCTAGTCGGCCCCGAGGCCACTGCCCTCGTGGCTGGTTGCTGTCGACGATCACCACGACATCACCTACAGCCAGTGACGGTGTGCCGTCCTGACACTTCCTCCGCCTGGTGAGTTCTGGCCGGTATTCCAAGATCCACCTCTTCCAGAATTCGTCGGTGATCTTCTGTGCAATCCGCCAGTGCTTCCTCAGGCACAAATCAGCATCTACAAACACGCCTGGCCGACTAGTTGCACTACTGGACCCAATGAGGAAGTGGTTGGGTGTGAGGGACTCTTCATCATCAGGATCTACTGAGACGTGAGTCAGCGGCCGACTATTCACGAGTTGCTCGGCTTCAGCGAAGACTGTGGCTAGTACTTCTTCTGTCACGACACGCTCCTTCATGACGGATTTCATAGCGATCTTCACTGCTCTGACGAGGCGCTCCCAGCTTCCACCCATGTGGGGAGCAAGTGGCGGGTTGAAGTGCCATGAGATGCCCTTACTGGAACACTCAGCAGCTAGTCGGTCTTGGCGGAAATCTTCCAATGCCGCCTTCAGCTCCCTGTCAGCTCCTCGGAAATTGGTTCCATTATCCGAGTGGATTTCTTGGGGGCAACCTCGCCGGGCGCACATTCGCCTGATTGCCATGATGGCACTATCAGTGTTCAGAGAGTGAGCCACTTCCAAATGTACAGCGCGGGTACTCAGACATGTGAACAACGCACCGTAGCGTAGTTCGCGGCGCCTCCCGATCTTGATGTGCAACGGCCCAAAATAGTCCAGCCCGGTGAACGTGAATGGTCGCAGAAACGGGGTCAAGCGCTGGACAGGTAGATTTCCCATTACAGGTGGCTTGGAATTGGCTCGTTGGTTCTTGCAGTATTGACACTCAGACCATGCTCGCTTCACAGCTGCTCGACCTGTCGTCACCCAGTACTGCTGGCGAAGCTCATTCAATGTCCTCTCGTGTCCATGATGGCCAGAACGCAGATGGTATTCATGGACTAGGAGCTGTGTGTACCTATGCTTCGGACACAGGATAGCCGGATGTTTCGCACTGTACGTCATTTCCGTCGCATGTGTGAGGCGACCCTGAACCCGCAGGATCCCGTCCTCATCAATGGCTGGCGCTAGCTGTCGTAGACGACTGCTGGTGCTGACAGGCTGGCCACCGCTCAACAAAGCCACTTCTTCGGCAAAACACTCTGCCTGCACAGATTTCATCCAGAGCTGCTCGGCCGCATCCATTTCCTTGGCTGAGATGGCTGCGGTTGATTCGACAGTTTGGCCGCGAACTCTGGCCCGTGTGTTTGCGATGAACCTGGCAACATACGCGGTTGTGCAGATGAGACGTTTCCATGACGAGAATCGGTTGACGTCAGGCAGCGCTTCGGCAATTTGCTGGGGCCTTGGCGGGGATGTTGTCGCCGCAACAAACTCCTTCTTCACTTCGGTCGTGTCGATGCACTCATCCGACGTTGCGGGTGCAGCTGGCCACGCTTCCCGTGACTGCATTAGAAATTCCGGACCAGACTTCCATCGGCCGCAACTCAGCTCGTGCATGGAGATACCACGAGATGCATCATCTGCAACATTTAGCAGTGTTGGTACCCAGTGCCAACTGCTGGCCTCACTGGCGTCGCAGATCTCAGCTACTCGGTGAGCGACAAACGGCTTGAACTGTCGCGCATCTGACTTGATCCATTGGAGAACAGTTCTGGAGTCTGACCAGAAACAGGTGCTGTGCCACTTAAGCCCATGCTCTTGAGCTAACATCTGGGCGAGTCGACAGCCAAGCACTGCAGCTTGGAGCTCCAGACGTGGAATGGATGTTGGTTTCAGCGGGGCTACTCTAGTCTTGGCGGCAACCAAGCTGCACTCGACGTCAGCTGCGTGCTCCACTCTCAGGTACGCCACTGCCGCAAACGCTTTACTGCTGGCATCGCAGAACACATGTAGAGACAAGTCAGTAGCGGACGACGTGAAACAGGAGTACGCACGTGAGATTCTGAACTTGCTGATCTCCAGCAGCTGTCCACACCAGATCTGCCAGCGTGATAGCAGCTCGGGTGGAATCTCATCATCCCAACCGATGCCGCTCAACCAGATGTCCTGGAGGAGTATCCGTGCGGCAATGACAAACGCAGCCAGGAAGCCTAGCGGGTCGAAAACTGACATGACGATGCTGAGTAGGGATCGCTTGGTGGGATGCGCGGCAGACAGCTGCTCTCGGCGTGTCACGTTGAGTTGAAACAGGAACTCGTCACTGTTCGGGTCCCACCGAAGACCCAGCATGCGCTCCACAGGCAGTTGTGAGCTGAGGTCAACGACTCCAGCTGCTCTCATATCAGCTGGCACACTCATCATCACTTCGTTACAGTTGCTAATCCAGTTGCGAAACGTAAACCCGCCTCGCTGCTGGATCTCAATTGTATCGGCTACACGCTGTACCGCCTGGTCGGTAGTGTCGACGCTGTCCAGGTAGTCATCCATGTAGTAGTTCTCCTCGCATGCTGCGGCTACAGCAGCGAATTCCTCGCGGTGCTCCTCAGCATTGCGCCGCATCGTGAACTGTGCGGAGCATGGCGATGACACTGCGCCAAAGATCATGACTTCCATGACGTACGTGTCAGGCGGGCCAGTCTCACCAGGTTGTCGCCACAAGAAGCGCTGAGCTGGCTGGTCTTCTAGGCGTATCCGAACTTGATGAAACATCTCTTTGATGTCAGCCGCAAAGGCAATAGCACGTTGGCGGAACTTCATCAGGACACCCACGAGCTGGTTCAGCAAATCTGGGCCTGGGAGCAGTGCGTCATTTAGCGACATCCCTCTAGCTTTGGCGGCCGCGTCGAATACGAAACGCAGCTTCCCGGGCTTGTTCGGATTGAACACAGCGAAATGTGGTAAGTACCAAGTATGTGCGGTTTGCTCGGCAGCCTCTGCTGGTGTTAGCTTACGAGCGTAGCCTTTCTGAACGTACTCATCGATCTTCTGGGCATACTCTGCTGCGAATTCTGGAGACTTAGCCATCTTTCTTTCTATGCCCATTAGACGGTTGAAAGCCATGTCTTGGCTGGACGGAAGCTTGGGCTGATCTGACTTCCAGAGGAGGCCTGTCTCATACCGGTCACCAACGCGAACCGTGGTGTCGTTCAGGATACGTTCAGCACGGATCATGGCCTTTGGCTTGCCAGCAGAAGCAGACGGTACAACGCCAAAGTTCTCAATGGTGAATGACTCTTTCACTAGTTGGTGCAAATCCGACTCAGGCTGCCAGATGTGGTAGATCGCCTCCGGTTCGAGTTGATCTTGGTGAGTCCGGGCTCCAATGCGACCATGCACTACCCAACCAAGAAGGGTTCTCGTCAGCATAGGTGCATTTGGCGGGCCTTCGACGACTTCACGTGCCACTGTGAGGTGTCCATTGTCTTGCCCAATGAGCATCCTCGGTTGTACTGCTGGGTACGACGCCACTCTGGAGTCATCTAAATGAGGCCATCGACTCGCCAGCCCTCTGCCATCTATTGACTGCGAATGCAACTTGAGGTCCTTGGCTGTTCTCACATCATCCATTTGATGCTGGGTGCCATCGCTGCCATTGACCGATACAGAGACTCTGCATGACGAGTTGTCCGTGTGCGTCGTCGAATTCGTCCATGCCATATGCAGGGGATCCGACTGTCCAACAGCACCTATGTCATCCGCTAAGGCCTTGTCCATGAGCGTGACAGTTGAGGCTTCGTCCAGCAGAGCAAGTGTCTCCACACAGCCCTTTGGGCCACTAACCGTCACTGGCAACACTCTCAGCAACACTCGGGTTGTACCAGGAATACCAGTGTGCCCACAAGTGTCGACTGGCTTCTCTGCGGCCTTGCCCTTGTGCAGGAGCACGTGATGGTGGTACTTGCAGTCAGGCTCACTGCACTGCTTCCTGCTGCCACACTCCCTGGTAGCGTGTCCACTGGCCAGGCAAGAAAAGCAAAGACGATGACGTTTTACCAGCTCAAAACGGGCTTTCTGGCCAAGCTTCGTGAATGTTGAACACTTACTGAGGGCATGCTGCACTTGTTTGCAGCAAAGGCAGGCTGACTGAGTTTTACTGGTTGCACTTGCTGGTGCCGTCGCTGCTGCTGTGCTGTGTACTGCCGAAACTTCCTGGTGACTGTACACCCGCTGCGTCTTGTCGGTTCGGGTACCCGGCAGATCCACGACGCGCACAGCTGCTTCAGCCTTGTCCGCCAGCCACAAAGAAAACACTCGCAAGCTGATGTCATGGCTACCCTGACGCACAAGTACTTCTCCCCACTGCAGTCGCAGGGATGTTGGCAACCTACCAACAAGCTCTTGACGTAGCTGAGGGTTATACATGTGACCTTCACTTCGAAGGTGTTCCATGGTAGTAACTAGAGTCGTCACAGCAGTGGACAGGTTGATAAGACTATCAAAGTCTCCTGGCTTGACCTGTCCAATGGCCTTGGCTTTCCCGATCATGGCAGCAATCACAGCATCCGGTCGACCAAACCGGCTTTCGAGGACTTGGAGTACCGTCGGCAGGTTCTCCGGCACGGTGAGCATCGCTCCGACGGCAGCCTTGGCTGGGCCTTTCAGGCAACGTTGCAGCCGAATTACATTTTCCGATGGCGAAAACCCACACTCGTCTGACGTCCTCTGGTAGGTCGAGGCGAATATGGGCCACTCCTCCGAGTCGCCAGAGAATGCCGGCAAGTCACGACCAACCGTCTGTCGGATCAGAAACTTCTGCATGCCGTTTGCTGCTTGCGCTGGGTGCAGGCCTCCAGCCTCAGGACTCTCCTGAGCTGGCTTTGTTGCTGTTGTCCCTGCCGCAAGTGTGGCGTGTGCAGTGCCGGGTTTCTGGGTCTCTACCCAATGCCTAGTAGCGGTCAAGGCGGACTTTCCCGGAAGTTTACACACTGTTTCTAATCGGGGCTGAGATGAGCTTACTTCTACTTTATTCTCCTGGCCAGAGCTGATCAACGACGCTGCTGATCGGGTAGTCGACGATGCCAACAACGGCCTCAAATGCTGTGTCGGCGCACTGGATGCAGGACGAGACGATCGTCGCGAACGAGAGGACGAGGTGCTGTCGATTTGGGCATGGCGCGCCTCCAACTCCAATTGAAGCACACGCCTCTGCCTATCCAGTCGTTCTTGCGCATCCGCCTCCTCAATTGCCATCAAACGTCGTGCCATCTCCAAATTGGCCTCCGCTTTTTGCCGTTTCACGGAGGAGGACGATCTCATCGATGAGGCGAGTGAGGCAGGGGATGCTGGCAACTCCAGCTCAGCAGCCTGCTCGGCGACATCGGCCATATCCGTTTCGCCCTTACCTCTACGATTTCGCAGCAACATTGCTGTGTTTCTGTAATCTGAAGACTGTATATTTCTTTAGAACTGCTCATCCGGCTCGAAGGACCATGTTGCGGCCCTGTGGCCATGGTAGACAAGATTTCCTTCGAACCATTTCTTGTTCTTTACAAAGTGGAATAAAACTGAAACTCAAAGAGTTCTCAAAAGCAAAGAGCGACACGCATACATGTAGCCTCAAGCAGAAAAGCTGGCAGCGCAAAAGGAAACATGCAGCCAAAAAGATGCCTAGCTCTGGCGTACATCGTAGAGGTCACTGCGCATCCGGTGCACTGCGCCCCAAAGGTGCAGGCACGGCGCCCCAAGGAGTGACGACATACATAAACTGCATTGCGTCATGCAGATAGAGCGATAGCGTACAAAGTACAAACAAAACAAAAATAACTGAGAGAAGAGAAAATAAATAAATCGAAGAGAAGAAGCGAGAGAGAAGAGAGAAGGAATTTAATTCTAATTATTTAGAGTTGGACAGGTATTATCAAGGAGACATGCAGATACACAATAGAATCGACTCGACTGCATGTAGAGTAGCTGCCTCTAACTGCAGCAGAGTGGAGCACGCACGTACGTGATCAACTCGGGAATAGTGAAAAGTGAGAGAAACAAAATACAAATAAATTCGAACGAGCAAATACAATAATAATTGTGAATTCATGTGCAAGTGTCTGTAACATAAGTGGTGCTTTTCAGCCACAATGCCAAGCAGTTTTTACTCATGGCGTTTGAACTGAGTGTACAACCCGAACCATTAATTCATCCACTGGCCGTTGAAAAACTTGAAATACCGACAAAGGGCGATAAACCTGTCACTTACTATTACATGTGGGTACTTGCAAAACACCATTATGGTTGCATGTGGCTGATGCGGGTCCGTCCAGTCGGTAGCCAGTGTCACATGTAAATGTAGCCTTGTGTTGATACGGGATGATAGTCTTGTCCCTTGTTCCATGGACAAGTGTTGGAACAGTGCAATTGATAACTGCGAGAAAACAGGGTGAAAGAAAAGGAGGTGAGAGTATACAAATAGTTGGTCCTCTTTTCTTCTTATAAATTAATCCTTGGCTCTTCATCCGAGTCTAATTGTTATTCTGAGTTATTGACCTAATGATGTCAACTTGGCCAAGGATGGCCTCCTTTTGCAGGATGGATACGCTGGCTCTGGCATCCAGTTCCCTCGCAAAGTCAGCAGTCGAGGGGGTTAATCCACCTAATGTCCCCCCCCCCCCCTCCCACCCCGCAATCACTGCCATCTGTCGTCTTGATATTTCTGTATCTTTTCCACAGATTTTTGGCAGATGTTCCTATCCAGAGGAACACTCACCGTATTTTCAGGGGAATAAGCCACACTTTTTTTCGCTAAAAATCGGATCAAAATCGCCCCTGCGGCTTATACACCGAATATGCTTGCGTGAATGAATGCTTACATCACTATGCATGCTGACGTCATGTGACATGTCATTCGACTCAGCTTCGCGCCTGTGTTGCGATCCCGGCACTTTTACTAGTTTTAGTGCGCGGGCTACACCATACGGTACGCGTATACGGGGACTCTATTTTGCGTACTGCATGCAAGTGCCGGTGTCAACACAGCAATACACCAACATCTCTGCAGCAACCTGTGGTGCACTAACACTTCATAATCTGATCTAACATGGTATTTAGCTCCATAACCATAATAAATTTGTAGAAAGGCCATTTGTCAATGAGTGTGAAAAATCCTGGTTTGTGGGCGCGGCTTATACTCCGAATACCAACTTTTAGTCAATATTTTGCCTCAAAAAGGGGGTGCGGCTTATACCCAGGTGCGGCTTATACCCCGGAAAATACGGTACGTCCACAGGCAATGTTTTATCCTGTTTTTTTTTTTATAACAATGTCGGGTCTCTTTGTTCCAACGGGCGCTGCTGTTGAAATTGGCACGTATTATTATTTTTATTATTATTCTCATGATGGCATCATCGCCAATAATAGATAAGTTTATTAAAATGTGAGATGCTGTGAGTGTGGCTGCAGGTTATGCAGTTGGAAGGAACTTTATGTCAATTTACAAATATGGGAGAGGGTGAGCGCTGCAGGAGCAGATTGACCTAATCAGCAGGGAGTAGATAAATGTTCTTGTTTGAAAGCAGGTCAGAAGGGAACCCACTAATGATTGGAACAAGGAAATCGGGTCGCGATTATAACATTATAAATTACATATACTTGTTGAACAATTAAACTTGGTGGCCTGATGGCTGCTTGCGGCCTTCGTGTTGTTCATAGCTCTATTAAAATTACTGCCTCTGCCTCGGCGTTATCGAAATTGTCGCAGTTTGACTAGTGACTTGTCACTTGTTACTGACAACTCCATACGCTAAATAATACAAAAAAACTATCAGACAGGAATGATAGTCTGAAGTTTAGAGTAACGTTCCAGGACAGTTGGACTGAGCGTTTCACACGGAGATGAATGCCTCGTCGTCGTAGAAAAATATCGTCCCACAAAATGTCCAGGTAGGTTGTGAGTTGGTTATGCCTCATCTCAAACGCTTTGACTTTCTCCACACGACAAGAGCTGCTATGCTTGCCGTCTGCTAGCTCTGGATGATTTCTGCTTCATCACTAACGCAGTAAGAATACCCGATCGTTGCGAGGTCGGTTGATTACCGTCGGCGGAATCACCTCTATCTTGAAATGAACTGTTTTTTTAGCCGTGGGATGCCCATTCATTTTACCTGTGTGGTCACTACTCGTTCAGGTCAGTGTACTATCAGGTCAAGCGCACACTGTTTTTCAGCATCACTGGTACAGTATCTGCACGTGCATCACCACCACTACAGTCTACAGTGCACAAGCAGAGTTTACACTGCCCTTGCAGATACTGAGTGTCTCAGCATTCCTTGCATGAATGCAAGAGCGATAAATTGTATCGCTCTTGCTTCCATTAGTTTGCTGACCCCTCGATGTTTGTCCAAGCGCTGCCGCTTGTTTCACGAAGTCCTTCTCATCCCAGCTCAGGTAAAACAGTGGTGAGTTTTTGAGTGAATGGCTATAAGCGCGAGAAATGTGCAGGCTGCAACGCCTAACTGACCTCAGCGAGTCGAAAGTACCATCGCCGCGACGTCAGCGAAGCCGAAATTGCGTCTAGTTCAGCATTTTCAGTTTCTAACAACAGAAAATAGAACTTTGCCATCAACCTACACTGATGACTACCGTCTATGTCTGATTCCTTACCCGTGGTACGACTGCAGGTGAGTATATACCCCTTTTTTACCAAAAGTCAAACTGCGACAATTTCGATGACGCGGAGGAAGTAATACCTCCCCGGAAATTACTTGTACAAGTACAAATCGAAATTTTATTAGAAATCCAGATTTAGAAATCCAGATTTACTTCTATGTGGAGACATCTTCACTTACTGTGTTACAGACACTTGCACATGAATTCACAATTATTGTATTTGTATTTTGTTTCTTTCACCTTTCACTATTCCCGAGTTGATCACGTACGTGCGTGCTACACTCTGCTGCAGTTAGAGGCAGCTACTCTACATGCAGTCGAGTCGATTCTATTGTTAGCCAGTGCAGGCTAAATTTTATTTTTCAATGAAACCCTTCGAAAATGGTACCAATCGATTCAGCATGGCATTTCCATTCCTCCTGCAAAGTTTCAGCTGATTTGGAGTCATGACAAGGACGCTATGGCGATTTGAAGATCGAAAAACTTCACTTTTGTTTGTCAAGAAGAAAGACCATGATCGCACACAAATCATACAACCCGTGTGGCACAATGATTTTTGCACGAAGTTGATCCGCGGACCCCGTGCTTCGCGCATGCACGCATGCATACTGCACAGTACAGAGGCTTTTTTGAACGCAGATATGTAGTTCTTCGTCTTCTTCGAAATGTCTTCCAAATGCGTGGTGCTGGTGTTGTTCTCAGCTTCGTCAAGGCAGAATGCAGCTGCATGTGATGCTCCTGTGTGTTCATGCATGTTCTCTTTTCGCGTCTCGACATTGTAGCGTCCAGACTCGGCTCGACTGGAGAAGATTGAGGAGACTATGCTTTGATCCACATGGAAAATCGATGAAATTTGGTAATTATCGTCGGGCGCTAAAATGCGCTGGGGAGCATGGGGCTAAAACTTCGTAGCAGTCATCCCTACCATGACAGGCATCGACTGGTATATGTTCCATTCTGTTCCCAACCACTACGGGTAGTCTGCGAAGCTTTCTTCTTCGCCGATTCTCGGACAGATCGTACGTCTTCGCACTGTATCTCTCGTCTCCCTCAACGGATCAAAACACGGTTTTCGCCAGGACGAACACAAACCCCCAGATTTCGCGGCGGCAACATCTTCGAGTTGGGAAAAGCTAGCAGCTAACCAGGAATCACCAAAAAACACGTGTAATACTCAGTGTGATTTGCGACAGCTGTCATTGTGCCGTCGCACCATGCATGTACCATGCACGGGAATGGAACACGGATGAGTCGTTTTATTACGACAGCCTGCACTGGCTACTATTGTGTATCTGCATGTCTCCTTGATAATACCTGTCCAGCTCTAAATAATTAGAATTAAATTCCTTCTCTCTTCTCGCTTCTTCTCTTCGATTGATTTATTTTCGCTTCTCTCAGTTATTTTTGTTTTGTTTGTACTTTGTACGCTATCGCTCTATCTGCATGATGCGATGCAGGTTATGGATGTCGTCACTCCTTGGGGCGCAGTGCCTGCACCTTTGGGGCGCTGTGCACCGGATGCGCCTTGACCTCTACGATGTACGCCAGAGCTAGGCATCTTTTTGGCTGCATGTTTCCTTTTTAGTACTGGGGCCAATTCAAAAAATCGACCTCTAAAATACATGCCTTGACACATGTTGGCTAACAAGGATTTTTCGGTGTTATTTGATAGATAATGTCTTCAAGAGTGTCTTGGCCCAGTATGGCGTGTCCAATCGCGTCCAAAG